ACAACAAATTTCTTTATCTGGTGGCGAAACGGAGTTCGTCGGGTTTGCTAGTATATATATATATATATATATATATATATATATATATATATATTAAATAATATCTATTATTGATTACGACTTGTTCATGAATAAATAATTATATATTATATATATATATATATATATATATATATATACATAATTTTAGTATCGTGATGTTAGTGATTGTACTCCTTTAACATATTGACCAATTTTTATAAAATTTTATAGATACATTTAGCAGAACTGATAATTGATTATCTCAATTGAAAACACGTTAAGCCCTAAATTTTCAAAAAATAATATTGGTAATTAATTTTGTAAATTGCGAATTTGTTCAACATAAATATATACATTTACTAGCATTGTGATAAGATATTTTGAAGTAAAGTGAAAAATGTCTGAAAAATTTGCATACCAAAAAAAATTCATTTGCAACTTTTTTTGTAGTAGCTGTAACCTTATGAGAGATTGAAAATTTTTTAGAAATTAAATGCTTATGTAAAGATAATTATCATATTTTGTTCACATTTATAACCACAATGCAACAACTCCACCTTTTTTATTTTCCACAAACCTCGAACTTCCATATCGGAGCTTTCAAGCTTCAGTTGAAGCTTTCGCTCACCATCCCTAGATGTAAGCACAAATAAAGTCCGACTTCGTACGAGTCTGAACGAAAACATTCGTTCACAGCCATATTGTTGTATTGCGGTGAAAAACGTCCAGACGAAGTTTATTTCCAAAATATTAACAAAAGTCAACTAGATGTGACCACAACCATAAAACTGATAAAAGCTTGGATTAATTAGTGTCGTGGAAGAAATAATAGTGACTCAAATATGTGACCAAAAGCAGAGACCTACTTAAAGGTGGCCTCGAAAGGGTACGTAATATAAAATATTCATAAAAAGATAAAAAATATCTGAACAGTATTTTTTATACGAAAATTAAAATGATAATTCATATAAAATTGTAAGTGATAAATTATAATTTAAAGTTTATTTTATTGATACGTTATATAAGTTAAGGTTATGTTGATATGCATGTCATTCAAAATTGAAGTTGTAGTTACAACCGACTAAAAAAAGACAATATATATATATATATATATATATATATACATATTGGAATATTATTATATAGAAATAATACTCATAATCCTTATACAATATAATGATTTGGCGATAATAATAATAAAAATATTATTTGGGAAATGAATGAGTTCGCAAATGTATGTAACTAACTAGTGAAATAAAATTACATATGAATATTATATAAAGTGAATAAAATTTGTATTATAAGTATATTCTAATTCAATGTACTTATAACAATATAATAAAAAAATATTTTATTGAAATGACTATAAATTCTAGGTCAAACTTGACGCAGTAGTATAATCTGCGTGCGTAGTATATGAATGAAAGTATAAATATTATAAATATAAATATAAATATAATATATATATATATATATATATATATAAATTCAATGTTTTGAATAAGTAACTTTGACCTGCCTTATTTTTCGATATACGTACATATGCCTTAATAAAAATATGATTTCATACAAGAAACGACTCGCCAATAATTTAATAAAAAATTATGAATCGATATATTGATCTGCATAAATTATCCCATATCTGCAAAATCCAGGTTTTCATTAAATATCATATGGCATATAAAGCTTATCGATTTCAAAGCCCAGGGTAAAAATTGCGGCGAGTCAGGGTTGAAAACCAGTTGACCCACATTCGCAAACTAAACGCGCACGCATTAATGCGCATGTGTCATGGCGCATTCGATACCAAAAGCTCGCTCAAAATGTAATAAAAAAAAAGTTAGATAAATATATATAATTTTAGAATTACATCACTTATCAGTATTAGATAAAAAGTGTTAAATATGGTTTAAGTTCTGTTCAAAAAATCAAGCAATATGTGTTTTAGTGATATGTAGTATTAACAAATCAAATCAAGATTATGTTCTAGAATATAGTGAAAATGCAGTGTTATATTATGCAATAAAAATCATTACTAATATTACGTGAAGTACTGTCATATGAAACTCGATCTCTATTACACAAATAAGATAATAAAAATGTTGAAAATTTCTGTAAAAAATGAAATTATACTCAAGCCGATGTTAGCGATTTATGATTCAATTGTGAATACAAGGTTTGGATTAGTTATAGTGATTAAAATATTTTTTTATTCAACTCATATGCAACTTTTTTGGTCGCTGACAATCCATCGTTAGCAATTGGAGGTATGCTGAATTGTATCTACTGAAGCTAATAAAATGTTAGAATAATGTTGAAAAGTTGCAAAAAAGATAATTATAGATTTGCTCAAGTTGTGTGATTTTTGTTCCAAAAATGCCTAAGCCCGTCCCAGTGGAGGATCTTATCATTCCTCCCCAAGACGGAAGGATATGCGTACGATATGCATCTGTCAAATGACGTGCGTATTGAGCAGCGTTGCCTTGGTATATCTGACAGTAGCAATCTACATGCCGTCTACCCGCGCCTTCCAATCTGGCGTATCAGAAGTACCAATGATGTGCACCACAACTCGAGCCATCACAACTGACAACTGCGACTGGGGAAGTTGTGGTGAATGGTGCCTGAGCAAAACTTCTGGTTCCTGCATGCAAATATATGTCAACTTGCGCAGAAACGGCACTGATTTACTATTCGGAAATTGTACGAACGCAGCAAACAAGACTTGTTACGGAATTGATCAAGACAACGCCAAAAAACACAAGTGCGTCAAAGAAGATGCAAAAACCTCACCGGTACCTTCAATTGCACAATGGGTGTGTGCATTAATATAACTGACGCATTTGAGTGTGTGTTTAGTGAAACTGACCCTCCTCTCAAGTGTAGTGGAAGACGTGGAAAAATCACGTGTATCGATATGCATGGGTTGTTTAGTTGTAATCGCGGTATTTGTGAACGAATTCGGACACCTTATAATTGTGATAGACGTTGTGTTGATATACCTACAAGAAACAAGAATATGCCTCTCTTGAGCGGTGACCGGTATACTTGTCCCAGTGCCAACGAGCTTCAAACGTAGACACAGGCGAAGAAGTTTGGAACGAATCGAAGATAATTTTTGATGGCGTCCTGTCATGTGGTTACAAATGGTACAAATGGAATAGAAGCTGTCGATTGTATAAATGGTTCCGTCCTCGAAAAAAATATTTTGACAGATTTAACAAATTTCACGTACTTGAGTTATTTGAGTATATTCAGCACTAGAGCTGTCCACAAAATTGCACCACCGGAAGCTGATTTGATCATAGCCAATGAAAGTAGACTTTTGATTAATTTAGAAGGTTGCGTCAATACATTACAAGATGAATGCAATGGTTTCCTGAAAGAATTTGGCAAAGATGGAACAGATCATAATGCACGTGCACGTTTTCCATGTTTCTTTGCAGAACATGATACATCTATGGTCGTAGCAAGATTCGACTTAGCTAAAACTTATAGGCAGTTTGTTGTGGCTTCTGTGTTACCATCAGTTTTGTTTGTAGTGTCTTGTTTAACATTGATTTTATGCCAGCGGACAGTGTAGTGGGCGATGATGCCAAAATGCGATTTAAGGGTTGTCCAGGGGCTGAACTGATTGTTGCAACAGGAGAAAAAGGTTCACAAAATAATCTTGCTGATGGAGGAGGAGGGGAAGACGGTGTTATGGCCCTCTGAGATCCGTCACGTAAGGATAATTGATAATAAGCCAGACTTATGAGATAATGAATTGTGAATAAATGACTAATAATGTGATTGACTATTTAACTTCTTTATTCAATCCAATTAAAGCTGACAATATGTATTTGCAAATGCATACAGTATCAATAATTTAGATATTGGTAACAAACAATGAATGAAGTCAAATATGATGTTTTGTGAATCATATAATGTAATATGACTCACAATAGCATTATTTGAACTCTTTGCGAAATAAAACTTATATTGTATACTAATATGAAAAAATAATATGGGTAAATCAAAATAATGATGGATAAAAATCTTATTAAGCGCATGAAATATTATCAACATTGATTCTAATTATATATATATATATATATATATATATATATATATATATATATAATTTAAGTTATTTCACTGAGATTAACTATGTTATTTTTATTACAGGCGTTCCCCTACTGCAAGACAGTCCCGTTCACTAACAGGTGTGTTTTCACTACAATAGTCCTGCATATCGAATGAATAACATCAGACAATATAATTTATAATACAACATAATTATTAACAACGCTGATCGGACAACACCCGAGAAGACCAAAACTTAATAGCAAATATTGTAACACAGAATATTAGCACGCGCTTGTTACATCTCAGACTGCCGCACTGAGATATTTAAACTTCTCTCTAGTCTTAGATTCCCCCTTCTCTCTATATTAAGTAGTCCTAATAATAAAATTGCACAAGTTACGCTTTAATTAGTTGGAAATAGTTTTGTTCATTTATAGTTTCTTGGAATATTGCAACCATAATAGACACAGGGAATTGACATAAAGACAATTTATATAATTGAGTTATTATGACCATAGTATCTCCTGTAGTTTACGACACATAATCGAATGGCAAAAAACTCAAGCGCTGCGTAATTTGAAGCCGGGTGAATCTCTAACGCACAGCAGACAAACTAAATAAATTATATTACGAAACGGGGGAGCGCGTGATAAAACTCATATTATCAATTGCATTCATCATTTACGCATCTCATTCATCAACAAGCTGTGCTCATCGCTAAACAATCGCAGCTCTTTTGTATATAGAGTTTTGCTAGGATTCACTAAAGTAATTAAGACGTAGAAGTAGAATTTGAATCTTGGT